CACCCCCCTTGGATGAGCCAGTGGAGATCTCTTCTGACTCCTCTGACCCAGCTGAGGGGAGTGACACCGCCGCCGACGACACGGCGACCACTCGCCGCACTCCTCGCTTGGAGACCCCCCCGGGTTTCCCGCCTCGGCCGTCTTCGCCACCTCCGCAGCCTGCTGCTGTGGACTCTGGAGCTGAGGCTGCTGGAGCTGGGCCTGGGGGTGGTACGTCTGGGGGTGTCCGCTCTCCTCGTTTGGCTACCCCCCCCGGTTTCCCGCCTCTGGAGCCTTCTGCAGTGGACACTAGAGCTGAGACTGAGGGTGCAGGGACTGAGGGTACTGAGCCTGCGGGTGCTGGGACTGAGGGTATTGAGCCTGCGGGTGCTGGATCTGAGGGCACTGAGCCTGCGGGTGCTGGGACTGAGGGTACTGAGCCTGAGGGTACTGAGCCTGGGGGTACTGAGACTTTGGGTGTTGACTCTGGGGGTGCTGAGACTTCGGGTGCTGACTCTGGGGGTGCTGCGAGTCCTTCTGGAGGTCCTGGAGCTGGAGGTACTGGAGCTACTAGGCCTGGAGGTACTACTGGAGGTACTAGAGGTACTACTGGTGCTGGAGGTACTGGAGCTGCTGCTGGTGCTGGAGGCGCTGGAGCTGGAGGTACTAGAGGTGCTTCTGGTACTGGGGGTGCTCGAGCTACCACTACTGGAGGTACTGGAGCTGGACAGCCACCGCAGACTGCTCTACTTGAGACTCTCTCGCCGCAGGCGATTCATGCGTGGGTCGTTCGGCGAGGCAGTCCTGGTGGTGGAGGGTACGGTCCTGCTGGTGCTGGAACTACTAGTCCAGGAGGTACTGGAGGTGCTGCCGGTGCTGGAGGTACTGGAGCTGGAGGTACTGGAGCTGCTGGTGCTGGAGGTACTACTGCTACTGGAGGTGCTGGGGGTACTGGAGCTGCTGGCACTGGAGGTGCTGGTGCTACTGGTGCTGGAGCTGCGGGAGCTGCTAACCCTGGAGGTGCTGGTGCTGCTGGTGCTGGAGGCGTTTGAGCAGGTGGTGCTGCTGGTGCTGGAGGTGCTACTGGTGCTGCTGGCACGGGAGGTACTGGAGGTACTACTGGTGCTGGAGGCGCTGGATCTGGAGCTGGAGGCACTGGAGGTACTGGAGGTACCACTGGTGCTCGAGGTGCTGGCGCTGTCGGAGCTTGTGGTACTGGAGGTGCTGGTGCTACTGGTGCTGGAGGTGTTGCTGGGGGTACTGGAGGAGCTGCTCGTGCTGGAGGTACGGGAGCTACTGGTGCTCTTCGCCACCTTCTCAGTCTTCCGCCAGGTGCTACTGACTTCCCTGTGGCAGGTACTACTCCTCAATTACTGTTTCCACCGGCGAACCAGTCGCAGCCGCCACTGCTACCACACTCCCCACTGCCTGCTCCTGCTCCTTACACTGTGGTGACACAGTCCCTGACTGAGCGTCGAGAGCCTCAGACTCGTGCTTCCACCCCTGAGCGTCGAGAGCCTGAGTCTAGCTTTGACCTTGAGCCCGAGCCTAGAGCTGCTGTCCGTGCTCGTGTTCCTCGTATTCGTCGTCCGCGTGCTCCGGCTGTCCCGGGCACTCACGATATGACACTCCGTCCTTCCTCTAATCCACGGCGTGTTGTCCTACCATTACCTCCTGCGTCCTCTCTTCCTGACGTTGCTGACCCTCCGTCTGACCTTGCTCGTGCGTCCAGTCCGACTGTTACTCGCTTCCTTGCTACGGTTGTGACAGACCCTACGTTCTCGTCTCCTGCTGCGTCTGCCTTAGTCACTGAGCTCGTTGACTTTGCTGATGTGTACCGCCTAGACTACCTTGCGAGCCTTGTCTCTGACCCTGACCCTGCATGTCCTCCGTCCGTCGGGGGTGAGACTGCCCTTGGCTGTACTGCCCTTGGCTGTGACGTTCTTGAGGACAGACAGGAGGAGCTGGAGTGCCTTGCCGTCGCTTCACCCCATCACGCGACCATGCTGCTTGCCCCTGAGGGAGACCCGGATGCACTTGACATCCCCACCCCGCGCTCCTACAGGGAGGCGATTTCGGGTGAGTACTCCTCTCAGTGGCAGACAGCCATGGACGCAAAGATGGCTTCCTGGAAGTCCACAGGCACCTACGTCGACGAGGTTCCCCCACCTGGGGCGAACATCGTCACTGGCATGTGGATTTTCAGGGTGAAGCGGCCGCCGGGTTCTCCGCCTGCCTTCAAGGCACGTTACGTTGCTCGAGACTTCAGTCAGCGTGAGGGGGTCGACTTCTTTCAGACCTTCTCCCCCACCCCGAAAATGACCACTCTTCGGGTGTTGCTACACGTTGCAGCTCAGCGTGACTACGAGCTGCACTCCCTCGACTTCTCGACAGCTTTATTGCAGGGTAGCCTTCACGAGGCCATCTGGTTGCGCCGTCCACAGGGCTTCACTGGGTCGTTTCCTGAGGGTACCCAGTGGAGCCTACGGCGACCAGTGTACGGCCTGCGTCAGGCGCCCCGCGAGTGGCAGGACACACTGAGGACGACACTTGCGGCTCTTGGGTTTGCTCCTTCGACTGTTGACCCGTCGCTGTTTCTACGCACCGACACTACTCTGCCGCTGTTCTACATCCTCGTGTACGTCGACGACTTGGTTTTTGCTACTGCTGACACTGAGGCACTGGCCCTAGTGAAGTCGGAGCTGCAGGAGAGACACACCTGCACCGACCTGGGTGAGCTGCGAAGCTATCTTGGCTTGCAGATCACCCGGGACAGAGCACGGCGCACCATCACCCTGACTCAGTCACACATGGTGCACCAGGTCCTTCAGCGCTTCCGCTTCATGTACTCCTCGCCACAGCCCACTCCTCTGGCTACCGGCCACTCGCTCTCAGCTCCACCTTCGGACGAGTCCGTAGAGCCGAGTGGTCCGTACCCAGAGCTTGTGGGTTGCCTCATGTACCTGATGACGTGCACACGACCTGACCTATCGTACCCTCTCAGCCTCTTGGCTCTCTACGTGGCACCTGGTCGACACCGAAAGGTGCACTTTGATGCTGCGAAGAGGGTACTGCGTTACTTGTGCAGCACATCGGGCATGGGGCTCGTGCTTGGAGGACGGGGTTCAGTGGTCCTCACAGGACACTCTGACGCTTCTTGGGCCGACGACCAGGCGACTCAGCGTTCATCACAGGGCTACACCTTCAGTCTTGGCGCTGATTCTGTCTCGTAGAGGTCCACTCGTTCTTCTTCTGTGCTTGGTTCCAGCTGTGAGGCCGAGATCTCTGCTGGGGCCATGGCTGCACAGGAGCTCCGCTGGCTGACCTACCTGCTGACCGACTTGGGGGAGCGGCCTCGTTCTCCTCCAGTTCTGTACGTCGACAACAAGGCAATGCTTGCCTTGTGTCGCGAGCAGAGACTGGAGCACCGAACGAAGCATATTGCTCTTCGCTACTTCCTTGCGCGTGAGCTGCAGCAGCGTGGTCAGCTGCGCCTTGCTTTCGTGGCCTCTCGGGCCAACACTGCTGATGTCTTCACCAAGGCCCTTGGGGCTGGTGATCATCAGCGTTTCTGCCCTGCTCTTGGGCTTGTGCCCACTATGCCTCACCTGCTGGTTGCTTGACTTGCTCTTGTTGTACACTGATATATATCTTTATACCTGCTTGTTTACTCTTGCTAGGTTGTGATCAGTGTACTGCCTTGCTATTATAACTCTGCATGTGAACTGGCCTTGTGGTCGCTTGCTTGTGCTCAGATTGTGTGGTGTCCTTGAGATCCACCCTGAGCTTTGCTTTGCTTTGCTTGTTCTCTTGCTTGACTGGTCTTGTGACCGTCTGTTGTGTTTGCTATCTCCCACTTAGCCTATGGGGGTGTGTCAAACTGTATGTTTGTCTTATCTCTAGGCTATATTGGGTTAGCCTACAAGGGGTACAACACTTTAGGGTTAGGTACTTGTACTCATGCATGCTACCTAGTCCACCATTCCTGCCTGCTTATTCTAACAGTAACCTCCAGCGGTTACTTCTCTTGTCAACCTCCAATGGTTGACTCGCCGTTGTTCCTCTGTAGTTCGCCTCGTTTGTAGTTCGGTGTTACGACACATAAGAAGCGTTCAATTCATTGTTTCCAACAAACCTAAGCCCTAACTTGGCTTAGGATTCTAACATACACGACTGTTCTTGCCAACAGCACCCAACAGTGAAACGTTACCCGCCCGCGACACTCGCCTCAACCACTGCTCCCGCCATTGTTCACGACGTGACCCAACCCCACGGTTGGATTGGTAACCCGCGCTCCGGACCTCCGCCTCGACATCCCAACTTCGGCGCTAAACCCGTAGCGCACTCCATTTTCTCGCGTTACCGTTACCACGCTAGCTTCGCTGTATATTGTTCGCTCATGCCTTCACTCATTGTATTGTTTTGCTTCTATAGTGCGATTCTCTCTCGCTCGCTCAATTGCACTCGTAACACCAACCTAGTATTTTACAAGCAAGGTCAGACATACAAATCAAATCTCGCGCTCTTACATGATTGAAGAATGAACTAAACTCAACGCAGAGTTCCCAAGAAAGTCAAACACTGGCTAACACACCAGTATGCTACACCCTGATCACTACCAGTCCTGTAACTGCAAGAGTACATGGTCTCTGGAAAAGCTACAGCCTTGCTCCAATTGCAGCATCCTGAAGGTGTACTTTCAGAGGAGAGGCGCATCTACAAAGCCACGGTGCGTGCAGCACCATACACTGTGACTGCAGCTTCCCGGCTTACTGTTTCCTGCCAACTCTCGAGCTCAGAACAGTAGCCCCTGGACCTTTTACTGCCGGCCGCACCGTGAGCAGCTTGAGTCGACTGAAAAATGCAGCTGCTACTGCACTGTGAGTGGCTGTGAACGGTGCAATTAGCCGCTAGTGGCTGTGCAGCAGCAGCTTGAGCGTGTGGTTGGGCATGAGGTGCTTGTGGGGAGGGTTGGTCGGTGCCTAGAAATGCGGAGGTGAATGCAACAATGTCTGCAGGCGCTAGTGGCTGTGCAGCAGCAGCTTGAGCGTGTGGTTGGGTGTGAGGTGCTTGTGGGGGAGGGGCTGGCCAGTGCGTGGCGAGACAGAGTTGGTGAGAAGCCAGCGCTCAATGCTGCTGCGCTCGTATGTGAAGCCGTCTGCTGCCACCACTGGGTCTGTCATGCACTTCTGCAAGCGGGGGGGAGGAACGGGGGAAGGATAGGGCGCATGGGGAGATAGGAGACTTTAAGTTTGACTCAAGCGAGCAGCCAGCGCTCGATGCTGCTGCGCTGGTAGGTGAACCCTCTGCTGCCACCACCTGGTCTGTCATGCGCTTCTGGGAGAGGGGAGGAGGGACGGGGGGGGGGGGGGGGGGGAGAATAGGTCAGGAGACGATGAGAAAGGCAGCGGAATGTGGGGGAATGGGTTGGCGGTTTACCTTCTGTCTGGTACCAGACAGCTGCCACCACCTGGTCCGTCGCCTGTTTCAAAGAAGAGCGGGAATGAGAGGAGAATCAAGTGCATGGGGACCGAGCGTAAACGAGAGGTGAGCACGACAAAAGGTGATTTGAAGCTGTCTCAAAAGCTGCAACCACCGGGCCTGCCACGCACTCAAAAGAAGTTACAGAGGGAACAACCCTCGCCTGCAACAGCAAACACATGCACTCACGTAGGACGACCAGGTTTGTCACGGCCTCATTCGAAGATAGTAAGCGAGGGGCAACCCTCACCTGCGACAGCGGGCACATGCACTGCTCGTCGAAGCTCCTCCTCCTCTTCCCCATCTCCACCTCCGCCTCCTCCATCACCTCCCCCATCGCCGGCTGCACCACCTCCACCAGGCTCGGGCGAGCCTCCCGCTGCCGAACCGCACACCGAAGCGCCAGCTCCGTCAGCTTCCGAGCCACAGGCAAGGGCCACTGGCCCCCCGAACCATCAACCTCCCTCACAATCTCCTCAACAGTCCGAGCCAGCACCCTCGTACTATCCATCTCTACCGATTGAAACCCACCTCCACGCATGCCCACTCCTCCCAACCCTACCCCACCCATGCTCTTCCCTATCCACTCCTGCATCCTCCCCAGCCTCCGATGCAACTCCTTCACATTCGGCTCACCCAGCAGCAGCTGCAGCGCTATCAGCCCAAACGCATACACATCCGATAAAACCGAGATTTCACAAGTCTCAAGCTCCTCCGGGTCTATATACCCCACCGTGCCTCTCACCCGCGCGGTTACATTTTCCACGTCGCTGAGTAACCGCGCGAGGCCCACGTCGGCCACTTTAGAGGCGAGGCTTGTATCGAGGAGGATGTTGTCGGGCTTTAAGTCGCGGTGCGCTATGGGTGGGTCATTCTGGTGGAGGTACATCAGCGCCCCGGCCACCTCAGATAAGATTCTCACCCGGTCAAACCAAGTCAACGGCTTTCTCCCACCCCGGCCGCTCCCCACTCCCCCACTCCCACCACCCGCACCACCTGCACCAACCGCACTACCAGCACCACCCACACCAACGGCACCACCACCCTTGCTGTTCCCAGCAGCAATCACATTAAGAAAGTCCTGTAAGCTCCCTCCAGGCAAGTACTCATACACGAGGCTCATCTCATCAGGGCAGTGACCCATGAGCAGCACTATATGCGGGTGGCGCATTCTAGATAACACCTCCACCTCCATTCTATACTCCGCACTGCCCTGCCACCCGCCGCCTTCCAGCCGTTTGACTGCCACCATGCAGCCTAGCAGCCGCCCCTTGTAGACCGTGCCGAACGAGCCTCGGCCGAGTCTGTTCTCCGCCGCCCAGTTGTTGGTGGCTCGGGTGAGCTGGTCCGGGGAAAACTGGCGGCATTCCACTGCGGCCCCTGCTGTGGGGAGAGGTGAAAGGCCTTCTGCTGTGGGGAGAGAAGAAGGGCTTCCCTGTCCTGCCTCGCCTCCCTGTGCGCCTGTCACGGTCCCACTGCTGTTGGTGCCTCTGCCCTGCGAGTTACCCTGCGAAACGGACCCAAAACCACCGCTGTTGCCCTTTCTGCCACTGATGTTCACGCTGCTGCCACTACCCCCGCTGCTGCTGCTGCCGCTGCCGTCCTTGTCGCCGCTGCTGCTGCTGCGCCATCTGCTGCCAGGGTTCCCTGCAGCGGAAATGCTTTCAGCAGCAGCAGCAGCAGCAGCAGCAGTAGCGGCAGTGGCAGGAGTAACAGCAGAAGCAGCGGGCGCAGAAGTGACAGCAGCAGCAGCTGCACCTGCTACCACGCGAGGTCTGATGACCGCCTCTTCCTCCTCGTCGCTCTCATCATAAGCTGCTAGCTCGTCTTTCAACGACATGAGCGATCCACTGCCTACCCCAACCGCTCTCACGCGCCCTGCAGCTGTTCCCGTTGCTCCTGCTGCTGCTCCTGCTGCTGCTGTTGCTCCTGCTGCTATAGCTGCGTCTGCTGCTGCTGTTGCTGCGCCTGCTGCTGCTGCTGCTGTTGCTGCGCCTCCTGCTGCTGCTGCTGCTGCTGTTGCTGCGCCTGCTGCTGCTGCTGCTGCTGCTGCAGCTACCCTGGCTGAAGCCAAGGGGGAAAGGGACGAGTTACGTGGCACCTTCTCCTCCACCCCTCCACCCACACCCTGCAAGCCACCACTCCGGGTGATGATGGGAGGTGGTCCATAATCCGGCTCGCTCCTTCCTCGGCCTGTACCCGCCGCATCACCCGCTGCTTGCAAGCGCTCTGTTCTCTCTGCTGGATCCGTTTCATTCCTCTGCAAAACCGCTCTGCCTGTAGGAATGAACTCATTCACCGCTTTCCCCTCGTACGCCGCTTTCCCGCCCACTCTCCGGCTCACAGGCGCGATATCATACACACCCCTCTCATGCGAGCCCTCCGTCCTGCCTGTGGGAACCGGTGCATAGTCCGTTATGCTGTCTCTCGTATTGCTCCTCCGGACTGTGCCGCCCAGCCCGCCTGGCTCCCCTCCCCTGCTTTTGCTCGCCTCAGCCCCTCTCTCGTACACTTGAAAGCCCTCGGCTCTGCCAACAGGACTAGGTTCATAGTCCGTGATGCTGTCTCTCGTTCTGCTCCTCTGGACTATGCCGGCCCGCCCGCTCGCCTCCCCTCCCCTGCTCCTGCTCGCCTCACTCCCTCTCTCATGCAGAATCGCGCTGCTGCTGCCGAACCTCCCGTCGCCGAACCCCCCGTCGCCGAACCTCCCGTCGCCGGACCTCCCATCGCCGAGCCTCCCGCTCTGGGAATTGCCGTCAGCAGCAGGAGAGTCCCAGGGCCCTTTCCCAGCTGACGAGGGTCTGCCGCTGTCAAACGAGCGTCTACCAATGACCTTCATTTTCTGCTCCGATCTTCCCGAAGCCACTTTCGCTTCTTTCGCCTGTTTAGATTCTTTCGCTTCTTTTGATTCTTTCTTCTGCTGCTCGGCCTGAATCTGCAACCAGTCTTGGGATTCGTGAGAGGAGCTGAAGTGGATTCCCTGGGAGCTGAAGTGCGGGTAGAGGTTCCGAAGCTGGTCCGGTTTGGATCCCAGGTTGTTGACCCATGATGCTGATTGGCCGCGCGGTTCTGTTACTGCTGCTGCTGACGTGTCATTGCCTGCCCACAATCGGCGCGCTGCTGAGCCGATGGGTGGAGCCGGCGCCAGGTCGGATGTCGCGGGTCGTGATTGGTTGGTGGATGAAATGTCCAAGGAGCGGCGCGGGGTGAAGTCAGATTGATGCTGTGGTTATAAGAACGCGAGGGACGGAGAGGGACGAATGAGAGGGAGAAAGGAGAGAGACGAATGAAGGAAAGAGGGAGTCTTATGAGGCGCCTCAAAAACTAGTGAGGTTGGATTGATGCTGTGGTTATAGGAGCGCGAGGGAGGGAATTTCGAGAACCTCAAGAAGAGCGACGACAAAAGAAGCCAGAATAATGATGTGGTTATAAGAACGCGAAGGAGGGAGAGGGACGAATTAGAGGGCGAGGGGAGAGACGAGCCTGAGGAAGAGGGGGAGGGAGGGGAGACAGAAATACGTGAGGGATCAGGAATAATATAGCACGCCTGGGGATGTGGAAGGGTGTCCAGGAGAGAAACGAGACGGGGGAGATGGAGCAGGCGAAGAAGCGAGAGGGAGAGCCATGGAACAGAAGCTTTAAGACTGACGGTGAGATGACGGCGTGAGAGAGGGAAAGCGATGGTGAGAGGGCAGGAGGAGAGAGAGAGGGAGATGAGATGGCGCGTCAGGTAAAGAAAGCGACGGTGGATGCATGCGCAGCGGGAGAAAGATGTGGAGTGCGACAATGATAAAGTGAGTGCGGCGCGTCTCGCTTGCTTCGTTCCGACTTCTTTTGTTCTCGATACTGACCTATATTGCAATAAACTGTATCGGGTCACGTCTTTCGATAAAACAATTTGTCTCAGCCTGATATTTCATCAGATACGGACCAACTACCAAATCACAAGACCAAAAAAAAAGAAACGTCGGCTTACCGAGGGTGAATCTCGTGCGGGCGGAAATAGCTGCGAATCGTCGAAGGCGTCACCGCGCTTCCGAATAACCACCGGCTTTCCCGCCGAGTGATGCGCATCACCGCCTTTTGGACGCGAAACACCACCACTTGTGCTGCTACTACTTTTTATCGGCGACAAAGCGCTGTTCGGTGACACCTGGCTTTCCGACGAACCTCCGCCAATTCCGGCCGTCATTTGCAGCCCTGAACGTCTCCCTCCTACATGCGACGCAGCTGGATTCGACGAGTTCGCGATGGGGACGACGCGAGACTCATCTTCTAGCGAGCCTGTTCTTAAATGGGCGAACTCCCGCGGGCCCTCCGGTGACAGTAGGCGTTTGTCGTGTCCTAAACCCTCCGCGCTTCGCCATGGGACAGGCGACACAGAGGACATCATTGGCTTATATATCGGGTATCCCTCAGGGAAGCAACAGAAGCTAAATGGGACTTCACTACGGGTTCTACGATGGACTGGGGTGGGGAAGGATGCGGAAAGGAAAGCTACAACAATGACTGGCAATGAACAAATGAAAGAATGGCTGCTGGAGTTCGAGCGTGGAGTGGAGTGGGATGGGATGACGGGAGGAAGCATGTGTAGAAGCTGCTTTCATCATGACACATCGCTGGCACCTCGAGATGAGAGATGAGATGAGATGAGACCAGCCGCCTTCTGCTTCGCTGTCCCGTCTAGCATTCCACAAATCAGCAACTAAGGACGTGTCTCAGTTCGCCTTTGATTGCCTCGATCAGACGCAATCAATAACTTCCAGGATGTTATGAAGGAGATTTCCGGCAATCGAGGGCGATCAATTGATCGCGATCAGCTGATCGCCCTAACACGATCAACCGCCTAAAATAGCCCAATCAAACACAATCCGACACAATCACCGACGATCACTTGATCGCATTTGATTGGGGTACAAAGCGACGCTCGCGAATTGGGGTACATTGTTCGGCATGTATTCGTGAATTTGTCGTGAATACACCGCCGTCGCGAATATAGAGCTGCAGCGTTTCTGGGCCCCTGTTTTCGCGAAATTGCAGGGAAACACTAAACTCGCTATTTCCATGCCGAGGCGTTCGCAGTCGCCAAAGTGGGCCCGAAAGTGCCAGGAAAGGTTCACACGCTTGCCATGTACCCTCGTGGAAAATTCGAAAATCAACTTAAATGATCGGGCGGCGCGAGCTATTCAAACAAAGGCAACCCGATCAGATCAGCCCTGACCAGATCATAGCCGACCAGAGGCGAACCGAGACACGTCCTAAGGCTCACCCACCCATAAATTTTCCCCAGAAAAAATGTTGACATGAAAGGAAGGTAAAACATGGAGGGGAACCGTTGGGGCCGGAGAAAAACATTCCTGCCTCTAAAATCTGGTGGGTATTGTCCTTTTGGTTCGGCTTCGTTGGGTCTTTCCGTTGCACTCCCCACCGCCATTCCTTGGAGCCATGTTACGGTTTTTTACATTTGGCATTTTGCCTGGTTCCTGCTGGCGCTGCCGCGATGGTTAGGGCGTGTCTGAAGTGAATTTCGACGTTTGCCGACGAAACTTTCGTCGACGTTCCTTGACGAAACTCGACATCCGTTTTCAGCTGTGTTCACTTCAGACACCCACACGACAAAATAGCCCACACGTGCCATAGGAACACTGTTATAAGTTGCCCATGAAAATTCGACGTGGAATTAACAGAATCATTCATGTAACTCAATTGTTTGCAATCTCGCGAATTTCGCTTAGCATAGATTGTTGCTGGTAACACCGGATATTCTACTGTCACATTGCCAGCGAAATTTCTCTAGCACGTGTCGCTCTCGTCTTAGTTCTTATTCACGTGTGTTTGCCACAGCTATGCAGACATGGCGTGTCGAAGAATTGTTTTTGAAACACTCACTGACTACAGTGACTCAAACAGCTGCCCGGTATCACTGTTCGACATCCCTCGACATGTGCACGAACGTCGAGTTTCGTCGAGGGATGTCAGGCTGCACTTCAGACACCAACACGCGTGGGTCCCACGGATGAGTTTCGTCGACGAAATTTGACGAAACTCGACGTTTGCACTTCAGACACGCCCTTATGGCTCCAGCCAAATCCACGTCAGCTTCAGATTTTTTGGCTGGGCACCTTTGGAAAACCATGATCCTTGTCATCCAATTTTTGGCCGGGCACCTAATGGAAACCATGATTTTCATGGGAAACAATCTGTTCCGTGATCCTATAAAGTGCGGTCCGTCGCTACAGAACAAAAGGACTGGAAAGTACTGGAGCCTAGGGGAATCTGACGATCTGAAATCGGGACGAATATCGGGACCTTCTCTCTCCCGAAACAAATCAGGACTTTGGGGTGTATTCCAGAATCTCGCCGTGGCATACCTTCTACAAGGGGAACTGAGTGTCCCCATCGCTTAGGTGGCCCCTAAGCGACTTCCTATCTGTAGCCCTCCTTGTCTCTGGTACTTGACGGTAGGGTACTGTAAATAATGAACAATATTTCCACTTGAAACCTGTATATTATTGTTCGTAATAACCCTTATGTTCTCACGTAAACTGTACATGCTAGAATGTCTGGGCTGTACTCCAGCAGCCAAAAAACTGCAAGTTGGCAACAACTTCATCTTTTGTTGCCAAGCGGGTCGGTTCAGGCCAGCATTGAGTTCCTCGGTGTTTGGGAGGAAGGGTCATTTTCGTGTAGTTGACTTCGAACGATTCTTTCTAGAGAGGAATGTTAGGACGTGTCTCGGTTCGCCTCTGGTCGGCTATGATCTGGTCAGGGCTGATCTGATCTGGTTGCCTTTGTTTGAATAGCTCGCGCCGCCCGATCATTTAAGATTTTTTTTTTTCGAATATTCCACGAGGGTACATGGCAAGCGTGTGAACCTTTCCTGCCACTTTCGGGCCCACTTTGGCGACTGCGAACGCCTCGGCATGGAAATAGCGAGTTTAGTGTTTCCCTGCAATTTCGCGAAAACAGGGGCCCAGAAACGCTGCAGTTCTATATTCGCGACGGCGGTGTATTCACGACAAATTCACGAATACATGCCGAACAATGTACCCCAATTCGCGAGCGTCGCTTTGTACCCCAATCAAATGCGATCGAGTGATTGTCGGTGATTGTGTCGGATTGTGTTTGATTGGGCTATTTTAGGCGGTTGATCGTGTTAGGGCGATCAGCTGATCGCGATCAATTGATCGCCCCCGATTGCCGGAAATCTCCTTCATAACTTCCTGGAAGTTATTGATCGCGTCTGATCGAGGCAATCAAAGGCGAAATGAGACACGTCCTTATAAGCTGTGAAAGAGAAGGGCAAAATTGTTCCCCATAGTGGCGGGTTTAGGGTTGTGCAAACCTTCAAACGAACCCTCGACAAAAAAAAGGTACATCCGGGCCTAAGGACGTTGTGCACACCACCTGAGATCGCATCGATCGAAGGCGATCCATCATTTCTTGGAAGCATGTCTAGTCGATGCAATTAGGGGCAATTTGCCTATTGCGATCAATAACTTGATCTGATTCGATTCATTTACTTGATCCAGCGCAATCGATTGTGATCAGTAGATCTGGTTGGATCGGGTCTCCTTTGAAATACCAGCAATGAAGAATTACCCCAACCAAACTTTGCTTGGGCTCGCCCCTTATGTAAATTATTGAAGCCCGAGGTCAGCATGGCAAAGTGGTTTTTGTATTTCGGGCTTAAAACATTATTTGGCAGAGTAGCGAGAATTGTATTAATTGAGACTACCCTGGCGAAGCTGTCAGCAGAACAAACGAGAATGGTGAAACTAACAGCATGCAGGAGTACAAGTAGCAGGTACATTCAGTTCAGGACATGTCACAAAAGAAAGTGTCACAAACGTATTTGTGACTATTGTGATACGCCGAAAATCATGAACAGAAGTATCCAACCACTCCTGATAAGACATCTGGCTAAATCGCGACTGTGTATAGTTTGAAGTTTCACAATTAGTCACGATTATGCTATCAATGCATCACAATAAGCCACGAACATTGTTTTCGGAGTATCACAATTAATCACGAACATTGATTTCGGAGTGTCACAATTAGTAACAAATACGTTTGTGACACTTTCTTTTGTGACATGTCTTAGCGGAATGTACCCTAAACCCTAATAGGGCTGTACCCCATATGGGCTACCCCACTACAGCCTACACAACATGATAGTTTGACACACCCCCATCGGCAAAGTGGGGGAGAACAATGGGTCACAAGACCAGTCAAGAAAAGCAAAGCAAGCTCAGGGTGGATCACGAAGTCACCACACACTCTGAGCACAAGAAAATGGCCACAAGGTCAGTTCACATGCAGAGTTATACAATGGAGAACAAGCAGTACAGTGATAAAAACATAGCAAGTGCAAGCATGCAGGTATATATATATAGATTTCAGTACAAGCAAAGTCAAGAAGTGAGCAAGTGAGACCAAGTAGGCACAAGGCCTAGAACAGTACAGAAACGTTGATGATCACAAGGCTGAAGTGCCTTGGTGAAGATATCAGCAGTGTTGGCCCGAGAGGCCACGTAAGCAAGACGAAGCTGACCATGCTGCTGCAACTCTCGAGCAAGGAAGTAACGCAGAGCGATGTGCTTCATCCTGTGCTCTAGTTTGTGCTCCTGACACAAGGCAATCATGGCCTTGTTGTCGACGTACAGAACTGGAGGAGAACGAGGCCGCTCTCCTAAGTCGGTCAGCAGGTAGGTGAGCCAGCGTAACTCCTGTGCAGCCATGGCCCCTTCGTAGATCTCAACCTCACAACTGGAGCTGACAACAAAAGACGAGCGGGTAGACCGCCAAGAGACAGAGCCGGAGCCAAGGCTGAAAGTGTAACCCTGTGACGATCGCTGCGTAGCCAAGAAGCGTCTGCGTGTCCAGTGAGGACAACTGGACCCCGTCCTCCAAGCACAAACCCCATGCCCGACATACTGCACAAGTAGCACACCACCCTCTTAGCGTCCTCCCGGTGCTCTGGTCGGTGTCTCCCGGGCGTAACGTAGCGTGCCAGGATGCTAAGAGGGTAGGCAAGGTCAGGTCGAGTGCAAGTCATCAGGTACATGAGGCAGCCCCCAAGCTCTGGATACGGGCCACTCGGCTCTACGGACTGGTCCGAAGGTGGAGCTGAGAGCGTGTGACCGGTAGGCAGAGGAGTGGACTGTGGCGAGGAACACTGGAAACAGAAGC